TTTTTTTTGTCGTTTATTAATTCTCATTGTTGCACTGATTTGTTTAAAACCCTTGATTTCATGTTTAAACTCTAGCTGAAATAACTAAAATCTTTGATATAAGCAAGCCCAAGAAAATATCACAGTTTTAAATCATAGCAAAGCTTAGTTATTAGTTACAACTTGGCTTATTTTTTTACTATTTGTTATCTAACTTTGATTTGTTGCAGTCGCATACTGCCAGATAAAAATACTTTATTGGAGGCTGCTATTTTGATAGCTGAGCAAATTGCATCTAAGAGTCCTGTGGCAGTGCAGGGTATCAAAGTCAATTCAGTCTACTCCAGGGACCACGGAGTCTATCAAGGTTTGGAGTACATGGTATGTACTAGAATATCCACTCATTTCTAGGAAATAGATTTAATATAAGTGATACAGCCTGACTAAAACATTCACATAATTTTGTGAAAACTGACTGCAATTATGAGAACAAACTGAACCTTTATAACCAGATGAAATAATATTTAATTTGATTGAACCAAAAAAAAAAAAAAAAGAAAATGATCAAAATTGAAGAGGTTTTCAGAAAATGAATTTTTTATTTTGACCCTCCTTTCCCAGAGACTGGTCTTAGACTAGGGGTGCACCGGATAGTCCCTCCGGCTTCTGGTGAATATCCGGCATTTTTTACTATCCGGCTCCGGTCGGATATCACTACCGGATAGTAAACCGGATAGTAAAAATACACCTATTTAATATGCATAAAGTGGACCTCGTTCCATTACTGTCTGTTATAGAATGTATTAATGTTTATATGAAAACAAAATAATGTGCTTAAAAATAGAGCCATTATAAATATGCACCAAACATCGTTTATTATAAAGACAAGGCATGTTAATAACTTAATATAAATAGAGATGAAACTTTACATCATAAATGCGCTTTACATACAGAGATGCAATGGCTGGCACATTTTTCAATTTGTCTTGACCTTTGAGTAAGTTAACATGTTAAAATGTTTCATTCCTTGACTACGTCATGCTGACCAGACGTCTGTCTAGCTGTGCGGGTATATCTCCAGAGGTAGAGATGAACAACTCCCACCCCCTTTTATTTGTTCAGTCCATCACATTGAGTTTTTTATAGGCAGGTAACCACAAGTTAAATACGATGGACGTAGGTATAATGTCAGCGTATAAACACTCTCTAGTGGTCACACCTTTCGAGGGAACTGAGTTTGTTTACTTAGTAGTTAATCTTTATTGGGGGGGGGGGGGGGAGGCTGGACTACAAGAGCCACACCTCTAAGGTAACCAGGTATATTTCTAGATGAACAACTCCCTCCCCCTTTTATTTGTTTAGCCCATCACATTAAGTTCCTTGATTGACAGGTGACCCCTAGTCAGATACTATGGACGTAAGCACTCTCAAGTGGTCACACGAGGGAACTAGGTTTGTTATTGGGGGGGGGGGGGGGGGGGGGGACTAGACTTTACATTATAAATTCGTATTACATACGTAGCAGCGATGTCTGGCACACTGGCTTGTCTTGACCTTTGAGTGGTCTAGTAAACATGTCATATTCCTTAACTACGTCACGCTGATAATCTGTCTAGATGTGCGGGTATATCTCCAGAGGTAGAGATGAGCTACCCCCACCTCCTTTTGTTTGTTTAGTCCATAACATTGAGTTCACAAATAGGCAGCTGACCACATTAAGCCAGATGTCAACGTGTCGACACTGTCTAGAGGTCACATCTTATGAGGGAATTGAGTTTGTTTACTTGGATTAGAATTTTTATTAGAGGCGGGACTACAAGCCAAATCTCTATAAGGTTAATTTGGTATGAGTTAGTTTATTATGAGATAGGTTGTCAATCAAGGGTCTGGACCACAAACCACACCTTATATACTATTGGACGGGTAATAAGTTTGTTTACTTTGAGTTAAGTCTCACATATGAGTCAGGACTACAAAGCCAAACAGACACTGACCAAGGGTATCTTTAAAGGGAGGGCTCAAGAGACTCAACACCCCCAACTTCTTATTTGTTTAATCCATGACAATGTATTGATAGAGAATATAGACATTGACCATTCTTAAGTCAGAATGGATTAACGCAAATTGTTAAGACATATTGAGACTGTCTAGAGGTCACTAGATGGTGACACTAAGTTTGTTTACTTGTAGAGAAATGTCATTTATGGCGCTGAACACACGTTCGTTGCACAATAAAGTAAAACATTTATGTGCATGTGTGCGTCTATGTATTTTCCCCCTTGTATTAAAACCTTTAGAAAGAAAACTAATTTCATTGTTTAATTCTATTGACTTAATATATAAAGGAAAACCTTACAGTTAAATTTAACATCCCAGAAAAATAAATTGATCTAAAGCACCACAATTAGATCTAGCAAACAAAGAAAAATATGCTGGAATGTTAAGAAACACTTGACCTCTGTAACTAAGGTACAGAGATAATTTATCTATATGCTTGACTGATCATGCCAATGTGTTATCTTCTTTCGCCCGCACACTAAACCCTATTGCGTATGCCCAAGGAAAAAAAACGCGTGAAGGTCAACACCATCATCTATACACACTACACTAGGACTACATGTGTAGGCTCACTACGTCTATCTGACCAGGTTGTTACAATCAGTCGAACACAGAGTCTATTTATGTTGTTGTTTTTTTTGGTAGGGAGGGTGTGGGTGATTTTGTTTCTTTTATAGTTGGTTTTCCTAATTCTCTTAGATTTTTATAACAGTAGATCTAAACATTGATATCAATAATAGGCCTACAGACTACAATAAAATCTATGCTTCGCAACATTTAAAGCTCAGGCTATAAGTAGGCATAATAGATGTTCCTGCTGTTAATAAAATATCGTTTGCCGCAAATGGATTAATAAATATATGACCTACTACGCTTCAGATTCCAACTATTAACTAACAGCTATCACTATTAAGCCCTTGAAGCCAGAACCAGAAGCAGTCTTTGGACTTAAAATTACAAGTCTGATGACCAGTTGTTGGTCAGAAATTATTGAACACATACATCCAACCACCATACAAGCCAGATGAGAGATTTACATTAGTAACTAGTTAAATATATACTAACATATTTTACATTGACCCTCCAACACACAGCCTTTATAGTTGGTGGCCTCGTACATACACACAGACACGCTCATGCTACACAGATTAATTTATGTTTATAAATACTGTTAATCTTTAATAAATCAATCAGCAAAAGAGTTTAAAACAATAAGGTATATAAAAGGAAACAAATATAGGTATGTTATTTAACAGTTTCGTAAAATGCTCAGCAATACAAGCTATTTACGAATACTTAGGTATTCGGCTCCGGCTCCGGCACCGGCCGAATATCAAATTTTACTATCCGGTCATATCCGGCTCCGGCCGGATATCAAAAAGTACTATCCGGTGCACCCCTATCTTAGACACTTACATAATGTCTACGGCTATTGCTAATAATCACTTTTACTACCGGGTACTGTTTTGATTTTTAGAGTATCAAAAAGAAAAGGTAATAGAAAAAAGTATCACAAAGATAGCATAGAGGACAAGTATCACAAAGGTGGCACAAAAAGGATGTAGGAGGCAAAGAATTTAAATTCATGAGTAGAAAAAATGGAAGATGTTGAATGTATCTTCATTGTAGAGATTTTCATTTTATATAGTTCATCCATCGTGGTTCGATGATGACCACTTTTGTCATCCATGGGGCTGACAGCTTTGCACTGGGGTTTGTGTCTCCTCATGTGGTTGGTGAGACCTATGTGAGCCCGGAATGCACATTGGGCAGGTTATTCCAGCTGGAACTAGTGTCATTTGCCTTGCTTTTCTTCTCTGGCGCTTTTCTTCTGCCAGCGCTGTTCTCTTTCCCTTAGCAGTGGGTGACTGGATTGTCTAATAGACAATATAAAAAAAATTTTCTTGACACAAGCCATCTTTTTAAAATCATAGATCTACTTGATGTTAATGGTGCATCTCATTCTCAACTTTTTACCATTTCCTTAATCTACATTTTATATCTAGTCTTTCTATTTGTCATTATAGTCTCCAGCATCTTTTAAATATACATATAGAAGTGTTGTAATTAATTAGCCAGTAGCCAAACATTTGAGACAAATTTTATTACCTTACAGGCAGAGAATTTTTTTTTTTACTCAGTTCATATAGGTTTTTTTTTTTTACTTGTATAGTAAAAATGAAATCTTTATTCAAATATATCATATACAGCAATGTAAATCTTTAGAAATTCTATTTTATATTTGATATTAAGGCCACCTGGAACTCTACAATGCTGCAATCAGAAGATGTTGGAAAAGCTGTTAGTGCTGCCATTCAGAAAGAAACGCCAGTGTTTTCAAAATTATGATGGAAATAGTTTTTACACCTTTAAATAAATTGATTTTGACTCAAAGCCATCAACATTTGTCCCAGTTACATTGTATAATAAAATTGTTAAAATTATATGATTACATTCTTAGCTGATTTGTTGTGATATAATACAGGCACCAAATAATCATAATTCTAAGAATTTCATGTACCTTTTGATTGAAGATATCTGAAGTTTAATTGTTCACTATGTGTACCTCATGTTGATCTTCTAATTTTTCAATTTTGTAAAATAACTGCAAATAATACTTGATGGTTGTGTTTTGATGTTCAGTGTGTGTGTGTGTCATTTGTAACATGATCCTTTGTAGGAAAGGATCAGAACTGAGAATTATACATTTTCCAAGCATCTGTTCTTCCCATAGACATGCAGTGGTCATGAAAAGACTGGGCAGGAAGTTGATATCTGTAATACCGGTCTCCATGATCCCGATATGGTAAGCGAAGGTCTTGACTCGGCAATGGAGGGAACTTGATCTTGGTACATTGCATTGAGTTCACGTACCTATTTCTAGTGACAGAAAAAGAAAGTGATATAAAAAAAATGTGTTTAGGGTTTAATAATCTCGGTGTTGCTGTCAAAAAAAGAAATTGGGGGGGGGGGGGGGGGGGGGAGCCGAAAGGAGACAGCATAGAGATAAATTAACTATCACATGAGAAAAGAAAACATTTCAAGTCGAGATAAACGAATATTATTATTATATATATATATATATAATGCTTCCATTATTACACTCAATAGTAAACTCAGTCTTTTCATTAATTTTATGACACCTGCAAGTCTATGGGAGGACGGCACGTTAAAACTAAGAACGGAAATAGACTAGAGACAGACTAACGACGAGAGAGACCTCTAGACTGTTGCCCTACTTTTTGTACTAAAATATTAGATTTATATATTATATTTCTAAAGAGGCCGGATTACGTAATATATATTAGGCCTAATCTGTTGTGGGAGTGTGTATATTCAGTGGCGTCACTTTTTTTTTCGTTGGTTTGTTGCGCTGTAATACATATTGTTAATACGTTATTGGATTGTTGAACTAAAAAATAAAACAAAATGTGTCAGCTGCTGATTACAATTTATCTACAGTTCATTTGGTTTACGTAGTCATGTGAAACTCTGCAAGCATCCTTAATCTTTGAAATCGAAGATATTGCCATTTATTTATAATTCAATATTGCAACAATGCAACTATAAGTAAATTAAATTGTTTTTTTTTTCGATTTCAACCTTGAAAACGTATTATTAACCTAATGTCTGTAACGATCTCATTTTTAATAAAATTCTGTTTTGTGAAAGTTCGTTTGTTCCTTTGTCTCAAAAAGTTCTTACTTTTAATTTAAAAAATCCTTTTTCACATGAGACGCCATAGATAAGCAGATGGTAAGAAACGGTTGAAAGCTTTGTTCAATGATTTAGAGATATTTTGGCATAGATTTTGTTGCCTTTAGGTCCCTTCTCAGTCTTGGTATTTCTGTTGGAATGTCGCCTTTTGAAAAATCCTCATTTACGCCAATATTTTGAAACTGACACCTCTAGTACTTCGTTGGTTTTTGAACTAAAGAATTTTTCGGTTGGATTGCTCCAAATTTATCTGCTACATCAATGATTGATACCAGTAAGAGTTGTAGGAATTGAAGCTCAGTTAAAAAACTATCAATGCACATTAGAATGAACCTCTTTTTCTCTTCTTAAATAGTGAGTCCGGCATCTAGTGATCGCTCGACTGTTTTTTTTTTTTTAGAAGAGCCTTTTTAAAGAACACTTTGCGCTAAAATGTAATGCCTTTGTTAAAGAAAAGTCACCACATTGTCAATAGTTTAAAGATATGCTTACTACAAAGAGGAGTGGCTCAACAAATGGGCATCAGGAAACACAGGCAGAGCCATGTACAAAGAAATGACTACGCCTAACAAACTGAACAGTATTAACTTCCTCCCCCGCAAAGAACAATCTACAATCTTCCAACTAAGAACAGGACACATACCACTATTAAATTACCACCTGAACAAAATAAACTCCACACAACTCACCCTTTGCAGACACTGCGCCCACCCCTTTGAAACCGTAAACCATATCCTCTTTCAATGCCCCTCCCTAATCCACCTTAGGCAGACCCTACTTCCACTACAGCCCAACATAACCAACATCCTGTAAGCATTGCTGAACAACTGAAGAAAACAGCACACTTTTTTCCTTGGCACAGTCTGCAAAAGAGCTCACAGCTCAGCAGCAATAAAGCTGGCTAGAAGAAGAAGAAGAAGATACGCTTACTTTTGTGTATCTTTGACCTTCTTGTGCATCTTCTCCTCCCCCGAGAAATAAAGTAAAGGTCAACTAAAAGATCTTAAGCTGCGCCTCTCGCGGCAATAAATTCAGAACGAAAAAAGTATTTCAAGCGTATAAAAAAAAAGCTAATTTCTGAAAAAGATTAAGTGAATTTTACACACATCTATTAAATAGCTATTCAGATGGTTCGTAATTTTCTGTACTCCTCCATGCTTCCAGACATTGAAGCTGCATTTTCATATCTTTGAGCTCCACATATAAATTCAAGCTCAACCTTTTCTAGACATTGGAAGATTTAAGTTGTCTCAGCAGTTTTTTTGTCTCCCTTAAAATCATTGAACTTCTGAATCTAATCAGTGTGTGCTAGGTCAGGTGTGTTATGTCAGGTGTGTGCTAGGTCAGGTGTGTGCTTTGTCATTCTGACTTAAATATCTTTTCCCCTACGTCGTTTACTAGAACATTTATGAACTTTTTAACATTACAGATGTATCTACATAACATTTCCACCATCTCATGGAAATTCTTTATTCAATAAAGACTCGTTGTTAATATAGTCACAACATGTCAAATATTCTGCTTTTATAGAAACAGTCCGTGCATTATATCCTTCCACTCTTTTTTTTTCTTTACATCAACCATAGAGCAACGACTTCCTTGTCAATTGTATTTGTAGCCGGATTTCCAATTTTCTAATCCAGATGAATTCTTTAAACGTCTTTTAGTATTCCAATTTCGGAATTAATTTCAAGCACTTATCAAATTAAATTACAAATTTATATTTCATTTCAATACAATTAGTTGAAAATAGTCGACAACAAAATAATACAGTTTTTTTTATATTAAGTGACTAAATCGTCCCCATTAGGAAGCATCACAACTATTTTTGGCACTAGCCAAGAAGAAAAATCCCCTAAAATATTCCAGTATACTCATTTGACTGACATATTGTAACATTTCCTTCATCTTAGCTACAGCTTCTTTTACAAAAAAATGAAATAACATCTTCATCTTCCAAAATCTCAATGGCCACTTTGCAATTCTACAAAATTTACATTAATTACATGTGAGATTTCAATAATATTTTATGCTTGAAGAATGTCGTCATTTGTTAAACAGTGACTATTGGTTGGCATCCTGATATTACGGTGGTAGCTACAAACTCAATAGATTCGATTAATACATTTTTAGAATCAAAGCAGTGTTCATATACATACATGCAGTTGGTAAACATCTGAAAGTAAGATTTCACGTTTTCCTTGATATGTTAAGTATGATAGGCCTATAGTTTAAAACCTTTTGATAGAATTTCATTAAACAGTTAAAATATGTTTAGTTGAAATGAATAAAAAAAAATAGATATGTCTATTTATCAATTGTGAAAAGCATGTTCCAATGATTGGCCCCTGTCGTTTATTTTTTGTAATTGTCAGTTATTACCAAAGTGCATTTTTTTAATTGGGTGTCACCTCCCTAACGGGCCGCACCCCCCCTAGTGACGCCACTGTATATTTAAGAATTCGCCTTTACAAACAGCAACATCTCAAGTCACAGCACAAACAACCTTCTCAACAGAAATTATAACACCTTTCTCAACAATATATATATTTATACTTTACTAATTTTACATTTCTGAAACAGTTTCGTCTATTAGACCGACACCTTCGACATTCATACTACAAGCCGACCTATCTTGCTATATAGTTACGCCTGCGATAAAAAGAAAACGTTGCTGAACAAATACTAGATCTCTAGGCCTTAGAATTGACTAAATAGTTGTACCCTGCTCCGAGATAGGAAATGTTTGGTGGATTGTGAGCATCATCAAAATTATACAGCATGGTCCTGGCAGTAGTGCTGATCATTGAGTGCATTCGTATAGCATCTTCCATGTGATGTACTCCAAGTCTGAAATTGAACAAGTCTAGACTAACGTATACATTTTAGAGGCTACAATTATAACATTAATTAAGTAAATTGTTTTAAAAACAAAGCATAACTAAAATATATGAGACTTAGCAATGATCTAAACAAAAAAAAAAAAAACAAAAAAAAAACAATGACGCAACAAGGAAATGAAAAAAAAATGCGTTGAAGTGAAATTTGTTCCCAGCTTTCCTATTCTATAACTCTATCTACTTATAATTCGATAGAATCTACCGTAGATCTCGATACGTCTAAGTGTCCCTGGTTCAGTTCTAGTTAACGAAATAAAACAATTAAACCACTGTGACAGGTTGGCGAATGTGACGTGTGTTTGGCGCGTTTAATGTCTAGGGGATGATTATTTTTGAAACTATCACACACCAACCCGTCAGCATATAAATCGGGAGCAGGCACGCAACGAGACAAGCAATGAAAGAAAGATACAAAGTTAAAAATGAAGAATATTTATTTACATAAATATTTACATCTAATAATAAAAAGGGGGGAGGGTTTGCATCTATCTCTAATCAATACTATATTTAATCATCACTCTTGCACTTAATAAGAGAGTATGCCACTTTGTCTTCTGAACTTAGCTGGTTGTCCTGCTTGGGTCGCAGCTGGCTGTGTCCTGGCTTGAGGTTCTGCAGCTGGAGGTGGCGCTCTAGCGGATAGAGGGACGCCGGTGATTCAGTTCTTGTGGAGTCTCAATCCAAAGTTCTGATATCTGTAGTGGGCACAGTAGGGCGGTTGGCCGGCTACCGTGGGCAGAGCTGGTCTGCCGTGGGCGGCTTAGTTAACAGGATAAGTCTAGTGAGTTGCAGAGGGTTGGCGTAGCTATGACGTCTTGCACAGACTCTGGGTCTATAGGGACGTCGCACCTAATAAGTTAACAGGTGGGCTGTCGAAAAGGCGGGCGAGTAGAACCGATAGTGCCAAGTAGTCGAGTTGAGTAGATCCACGTAGACAGTAGAAGATACTCAACAGCAAATAGCGTAGTGATCTGATAACTAGTTGAGTCGTTTCGTGTAGGCAGTGAACAGCAAATAGGCAGGAGTGCGATGGCAATAGGCAGTTGACTAGGTAGACAATGCCAAATAAATAGGCAGGTAAATAGGCAGGAGTGCTCCAAACAAACAGTGGATAGGCAGGTGAGTGATCCGATAAATAGGCAAGTGCAGTGCTGAATAGCACTAAGCACAAAGGCAGACACCTGAGGGAGGCACCAGGTATTCCTCTAAGAGTAAGAATAAGTGAACTAGTCCAGACTCGAATGCTCAGATAGGATGAGAAATGTGAGAGAGCTGGCTTGATTCATTCTACTTTATAAAGGTCTGGGAGAGACGGGCGGAAACAGGAAATGTCCTAGGCTAAGAATTATCTTACACGTGGGTGAAGTCCGACAAGAGTCACACCCTGGAGTGTCACGAGGCGTATTGACCCGAGTAATCTCTTTGATCAAAGAGAGGCGTGGGAGAAAGTTGGGGGGGGGGGGGGTAAGAAAGATTGGCTTGCATTCCACCTAAAGTGGTGTCAACTGAGGCCGTCAGACATCCGGCAGGTAAGATAAAAGAGACTTGTGTTTATCTTTACCCCGGTCAAGGGAAGATAAGTGAAAAGCCGCCAAGGTGGTGGACTCAGTCTAGTGAGACGAGGAAATTGTGGAGAGGGTGAAGAAATTGGGGATAGAACGGGGAAATAACTAAACTAAAATAAATAAATAATAGTAAATAATGATTAATGCTGTGATAAATTTGAGTGACTCTGACAGCAAGCTTTTGACTTGTCACAACCACTAGATAAAACACAAATTTTAATCAGCTTTACTGCATATCACACACGCTGGTCTCTGTCTAACAAGAAAACACACTTCCGGTCATTCGCGCAGATTGTAAAAATAGATTATACATACATACACACATTCATTCGTGACATCTCGCCCCTCCTAAAATTATAATCAATTTTTACAAAGACACGTAAAAAATACGATTATAAAACAAGTATAAAACATTAAAACACAATACAACAAAAATGTTAATTCGATAGGCACAAAGACTCTGAATATGGCACCCAGGCGGTTATGTAG